CAGCAGGAAGCTTTGGCTTTGCTACAGTCCAGGCGCAGCTGTGTCTGAAACTGCTCTGGCTGAGCTCCAGGGCAGGCCAGCATGAAAACCAGCTCAGGTTGGAAAATGCAACACACAGAAATAAGTAATGGAAGGAGAGGTACAGGGGCTTCATTGAAGGTTTTCCCTCTTTATCCTGCTTCCTACCCAGAATCAGAGCACACATGCGCTCTGGCACAGCTCTGCGGTGGGTCTCCAGCCTTCCAAATCTGTAGGTGGTGTCACAGGCCAAAACCTCTTTAGACCTCCTAATACCTGTCTTGCTCCTCAGCTTCAGTGTGCACCTGGCAGCACTGCAGGAGCAGACACAAGGACCTCTTCAGGACACCCGCATGGGAGAAGCACAGGCTGCTGTGGTCCCTGTGCATTAATACCAGCCTGTCCCCTGCTGCAGAAGAGAGGGAGTTGAAGAAATATCTCCTCCTGTGTTACTATGAGCAGTGCATTTCAAGTTCAGCCAGGTGAAGTGTCCCATGCTGAAATGGTACCCTGCAGGGATACAGGGAAAACAACCTGGAGAGGCTACAGGAGTAAAGGCTCCTGCTGCGTGCAGATGGAGGGGCTCCAACAAGCTGCTGGTCCACAGATGAGGCAGAAGCTATGAGAGAACTATTTCCAGTCAAAAAAATCACTCTGAGCTGGTAATTTGGAGTGTGACAGAGGGGGAAAGTCAGTTCCAGTTTTATTTCACTGAAGACTTCAAACTAACATCTCAGGTTTAGTTGCAGCCTGGGTAAACAAAACAGAACAAACCCTTTAACTGAACTTCTGCTTGGCATTTGGTATTTTTCAAGTAAAAGCAAATAACAGAGGTGGTCCTGCAGGACATGTCCCCCTTGGGGTCACCTGCTGTTGCCCAGCTTTGCATTTTGAGCTGACCAATGGTCACCAAGACCAGAGCTTTCCTTAGGGCCACTGCCACACTGGGTGCAGGTCCCCAGGCAGCCTGCTCCAGGGAAGGGTCTGAGTGCCCATTTCTCCTTCTGACTCAGTCAGGACTTGCTGAATGACCTTGCCAAGCCCGTGATTTGTTTTCTGAGTTAATAAATACCTCATGGGAGGACTGGGAAGAATCATTAAAAACTGCGTATGACCCATGGAAGAAAGCACTGCAGAATGAGAATGCAGAGCATTGGTTCATGTTATAGACTTTGCAGCCCAGAGGACAGGCTGTCAAAGTCTACCCATCTTTAAACATCTGGTAGGTCTTAACCAGTGCTGATACAAAAATGCAAGTGGTAGCCTGATGGGAAAAGAGCAGCTTACGGGTCTCATTTACATTTTGGTTTTGGGTAACTTCTCCAATTAAGAGGACACCAAAGCCAAATTTCCTGCAAAAAAGCACCTAATAAAAGCTAAACCAAACTACAATGAGCCTTTTGGGTGGCATTTCAACTGTTTTCTTTTACTCAGCAAGCACCTGAAGGCCAAGTAACTGTGGTCCTCTATCTCCTTGCCATTCAGTGGAGCAACCTGCAGCTCAGTCACATTTGCAGTGGATCTGTAAATAGCTGGCGAAAGCACATCTCTTCAGAAAGATGCTGTGATCAATCACACCAAGTAATTCTCATTGGCATTAATCAATTCCAGCTCTTTACGCTTTTCAGATGAGATGAGGGAGCCCGCCTTGATTTTAAAGAACAAGTTACTGTCAGTGGGCAATATATTCAGGTACTGAGAGGAGCGAGGAAAAAGGCGGGGTATAGAAACCGAAGCATAAGAGAAAGAAATACCTGCTGAGCAGGAAGATAGGAGCGCAGTGACGAAGAGGAGCACAGCAAAGGCTGCCCAGGGATCGCAGGAGAAGTGCTTCATGTTGGGGGTCCAGCTCCCGCTCGAGTGGCCGCACCTATCGGGTCACTGTCACCGGTAGTTCTGGTTCTGCAAAGCCTCAGCAAAGCCTAAGCTGAGAGAGCCGGCGTGCAGGGCAGAGGGTGGAGCAAAGGAGCGTCCTGCTGCCAGGACACCTTGAACTTTCCTGCTACAACGAGGTGAGGAAAGAGAAGGGCTCTGACCAAAACAGCTCCAGCAGGAGGTGGATACCAGTGCCAAGGCAGGGCAGAGGGCCCCTGAATGTCAAGCCTGAAGATTTTTCCCCAGGATCTGCTGCAGGTGGAAGGAGGAAAGGCCTCTGGAGCCAGCCCTTCCCCACAGGGTCCCAGGTAGCTTCTGAGTCTCCTTTTGGTCCTGTGAGGATGGTCTAATAGGGCTGGAAAGGAGCAGAGGATCAGAGTAGAGAATTTGTCCCTCTGTTTTGCTTTGATTTTGCATGTTTGCTGGCTTGACCTCCCCCAAAACTGCCCAGCAGTGATGCATTTTTGGAAGGGCTGTGTGGAAGCCTAGAAAAAAAAAGCAGTCTTTGATCACGGTAGTACAGCAGCTGCTGAGTTAACACAGGGTATGGGCACATTTCCACCAAGGAATGGGATGAAACCAGTGGCTTTGTGTAGGCTACAACAGCTACTACACAGTAACAATGGCCTTTCTTTAAGGGCCTGTGTTGAGTTATGGGTTGGGATCAGTTCAAGCTTGGGGCCTCTGCACAGGAAGAAGCTGCTGCTGTTCTCGCCCCTCCATCACCCATGTGCAACATGATGCTGAAAGAGCAATTTTTTTGTTTTCTCCTCTTGTATTTTTCTCCTACTCCATAACACAGGCAAAGCCAAGAGCTGCTCCCTTCTGCCAGCACAGCTTCATTTGCAGACCAGGAGGGTTGCTGGTAAAATTATGTCTGCTGGAGGGCAAGATTTTTTTTCTGCTACGAAAAAAACCCCACTGTTGAAGATCTTGTAATGTTATCTGATGAGTGCTGCATGTTGCTGTGGTTCCCCAGGCTGTTGACTCTGCTTGCTCCTATTTCTGACCCACCATGATGTCCTTGTTAAGGAAAGCTTCAGATGTTAAATGAGGCAGGAAGGCACTGGTAGAGGTTGGCTCAGCAGGGAGCAGGCTGCTGGTGCTCTTCAGCAGTGGTCCCACAAAGCTTTGGGTGCTTCTGTGAGAAGAAAGGAGTCTGGAGCTTGTTTGGGATGTGCAGTCATTCCATGGGAGGCAAGGGGGAAGGTGACTGGGACAAAAATCCTAGTAGCATGGACAGTGTCTAAAAATTTTCTCCTTTTTAACCTTCACACTGCTGAAATCTGCAGGGATGGATGTCATAGACTTCCCATGGGAGTTGTGGCGAGCTACATTCAATAGTGCTGCTGTGCAAAACTGTGAGGTTTATTTGGTCTTCTCTGTTTAAGAAAAACCTTAACAGCAAAATCCACAGATTTAGCCCTGCCCAGCATTTCTGTGGGGTGAACCTGCTTGTCCTCCCCACGGCCCACCTCTCAACACCAAAACCACTCTGCTCCCCTCCAGCTGTGAATATTTCCACGGTGCAGCAGG